TCCTGGCTACTGCAAGTTGAAAGTTTTCAATCCTCGCATTGGTATGGATGCGCTTCAGGTGATTTTTAAAAAATAGTTTGACTTTAATAGAATTAATTGTTAAGGATGCATACGCGTGGTTTTATGATTACTTCTTCCAAACATCGAAAGATTTATTTTATACGATGCCAAGAAGTAACTCTCAAATTTCAGGTTTTCCCAATATCGCAGGCTTCAGCTAATCAAAGATCTGGTCGAGCTGGTCGCACGGGTCCGGGACAGTGTTTTAGACTTTATACTGAAAGGCAGTTTAAGGTAAAGTTGAATTTCCTCTGTTTCTGTTGTAGAGAGGAAAGATATTAAATATTCTTCGAAAAAGAAGATACAATAGTGAAAAAGCTTTCAGAAATAAAAAAGGAAATTTACTTAGTTGTAAAATGCTATTTTGCTAAACGGTGACTCGAGAATATTAAAAAATCTTTTTTGGATCATTATTTGTTATTTTTTGTACTGTTTGATCTTAGGAAGAAATGTTGGTAGCTACTGTACCAGAAATCCAAAGAACAAATCTTTCAAATGTGGTTTTACTGCTGAAATCTTTGGGAGTCGATGATCTGTTAAAATTTCATTTTATGGATGCACCTCCTCAGGATAACATGTTAAATAGTATGTATCAACTATGGACGCTAGGTGCTTTAGACAATACAGGTCACTCTTTTAATTCTTATCTAATTTATTCATCTTTGCACTCTTTATTACTGAAATTGATGTATCACATTACTGATGGTCTTGCATTGTCTCAAGACAATGTTTATGAGATTGCAGTAGTCTGTTGTAATATTGTGTAGTAGTAGACATGCGATTAGTGTAACAGCATGAAATGACTCGGTACATCTCTGACTTAATTTTCTTTTTTGTAAGATTTGAAAATAGTGAAGGCTGTTGGCAATTTTTTGCACTTATACATTAGTATCTTTCTACTTTTTTAGGCAGGCTCACTGATTTGGGTAGGAAAATGGTGGAGTTTCCGCTGGATCCAACTCTCTCCAAAATGTTGATTGTATCGGAGGGAATGGGTTGTAGTGATGAAGTATTGACAGTCGTTTCAATGCTTTCTGTTCCTGCTATTTTTTTTCGTCCTAGGGGACGAGAAGATGATGCTGATGCAAAGAAAGAAAAATTTCAGGTTTGTTGTGAAGAAGATATGAAGTAGAACATTTGCTTTTATTGTCAAAGTTAGTATGAATAAGGGTTCATTTCGTTATTGATAAATATTTTTGCATAAAATGTGATCACTCACTTGTTCGATACATGAAGCAAATTATCGGAAAACAGAAAAATATGTTTCTGAACTGCTTCCAATTTACATTGATCAAGGGAAGTAATTAACTTTTTATAGGAATATTAAACTCGCTGCTTGTTTTGCTCTCTTGTAGTTTAGGGACTTTCAGGTACCAAAAGAAATATGTATAAATCATATAGATCGGTTTGATGACTACTTTTCTTACACTTTGAAGTTGCTTCATATATCAGATTACTCATTGCAGGTACCTGAAAGTGACCATCTTTCATTCCTGAACGTTTATTTGCAATGGAGATTGCATAAATATTCGACGAAGTGGTGCAACGACAATTTCATTCATATTAAAGCTATGAAGAAAGTTCGGGAGGTTAGATTATTCTTTAATTATTTATTGTCTTTCATCTCTAAATCTTGCCATTTGTTATATGTGCTTCAAATTCTACAGTTTTCTTCCTGTTCCTTTTTGATCGAAAATACTATTATTATACTTGTAGGTCCGTGCCCAACTGAAAGATATTATGGAGGAACAGAAAATTGAACTGATATCTTGTGGTACGGATTGGGATGTTATACGAAAATGTATTTGTTCAGCATATTTTCATAACGCTGCAAGGTCAGTAAACTGAAATCAGCTTTTGTCTGCATGAACGAAAGAGTTATTCACAATTTTATTTATATAGTATTTTTATATTACAGGCTGAAAGGAATTGGCGAATATGTTAATGCAAGAACAGGAATTCCTTGCTTCTTGCATCCAACATCCGCACTTTTTGGTATTTTTTCGAATTTAATTAGCGATTTAACATTTAGCTACACTGCCTTTGGCTTTGGGATTCGGAATCTCTCTGTTGCCTATTTTAGATATCCTTGGTTTTGTTAAAGATGGTGGTATTCAATTGTTACTTCTCCTGGAGTTTCAGATTTTCCCCCGTGTGTCTTATTCTAATTCATTCTGTTGTTTCTTTATCCGATTTGTGTGTGGGGATTTTTCTTTATAATTATATTAAAGTTTAAAGAAAAATTCTTTTTGATTTTCTCATCATTTTAGGAATGGGGTATATGCCAGATTACGTTGTATATCACGAACTGATCATGACAGCGAAAGAATATATGCAGTGTGTGACATCGGTTGAAACACCATGGTTAGCTGAACTTGGGCCCATGTTTTATACTTTGAAGGAAGCTGGTTCAAGTAGGATTGAGAAAAGGCTTCAAAGTATGCAAGATGCTCGGGACATGGAAGAAGAAATGAAACAAGTAAATTTTTATTTTTTCTTAAGGGAAAGGATTAGGAATAGTTGATTTTTGAGATCGTACCAAAAGTCTGGATAACTGTCAAATACTTACCTACCTTACTTACTTTAGTGGAGCTTAAACTTTTGTCATTGTTTTTTCCCATATAATTCGACTTTAGCTGTGGTTTGCCTTTAGTTGTCTTTAGAATTTAGAATCAATTTAGTTTTAAGTTCCATCCTTTTAAAAGTTATTTTTCAGACGACCAGCAGAATGAGCGAAATAAAAAAATGGGAACAGGAAGAGAGTTATTCAATGCGTTCAGTTTCGTCCACGCAGATAGCAGAACCTGGAAAAGTGTGTGCATCTGTAAGATCCTCAGCAAGGTTTGGGATGTAGTTATTCATCTGGAACGCGCTTTTTTTGTAATGATGTTAAATCATTCCCAAATTAGCGCACATTTAGTAAGTAATGCTGTTTTTGACTTTTTTGCTATAGCATTTTAAGATTTAGCGCTAGAGGTTGTTTGCTAAATTTTGGAATGTTCGTAACTTTCATCAGTTATAAGAAGAGGGAACTAACGAGATGGGTCTTCAATTTTGGGAAGTAATTTGGAAAATTGCTCTGGAACAAAGAACAATTTTTTGAAGATGTATGAAATCAATATTTTTGATGTAAAATTCCTTCTTAAGTTTTTGTGTGTAATTCTACCTATGTAGTCTTAATCATTTTCATAAAATTATCATTTTTACTTCTTTTTCAATAAATTGTGTCGGTGGAGCTATTAGATAATCAGTGGGTGTAAGCTGTAACCCTGTACTACTAGAGAGGATTGTACCACTGCTAGTAACTTCCAGTTATCGGATTTTGCTGCTATGATATGTTTGTCTCATTTATTTATTATTTATTTTTTGAAATTATTAATGTAATGCTTGTTTTATAAATTATGCATTATTCCATTGTTCTCTATGTTTAAAAGCAGTAAATTTATGTAAGTATATTCCATTTTTTTATGGTCAAATATGACCAAGATAATGTCGAAATATCTTTTTTAGATTTAAAGGGATCCTTGTGGTTCGCATCAGGCAGATACTACTCATATGATTTTTCCAAATTTGCATAGAAATGATGGGAAAATATTCAGATAGGTAAGGGAGACACATCTATCGGTTGGGTTCTCTTATCATAATATGTCAGATGAAATGGAATTTATCTCATAAATCAGTTTCTAAGCAAGATTATGTGGTTGGGTCAATTAAATTTTGCTGGTTGTAATTGTTTCATACAAAACTTATTAATTTGGTCTTTTTACATTTAGGTGAGTAGATTCTGCATTTGGATGGATCCATCAAATACTGTCTTATAATGAGAATCTGTTTGCCTGAAAAGATCGATCCTTGCTTAATTAGAAGACATGTTGTCATATGTACTTTGGCTTAATTCCTTTCCATTTTTCTTGTGCGTTTTGTTTTTTTTTTTAATTAAATGTAATGGAACTTCAGCGTTTTATTGTTGAATGTCCGGACTATATTTCTGCTTCCGAATGTCTTTCATATCCATTAGAATTTTGATTGAACCTGCTTTTCTTCGTGCTAGGTTAAACAATACATTTCACAAACAAATTTTTATCTCAGCCTAAGCCCTTTACCCTTTGCTTTAGTCCCACCTTTGCCATCCAACAGTGGTGGTATCATGTCAGGTATGAATTCATTAATGCCAAAGTATGATATAAATGCTGTCCGGTTCTTGATAGTCATTGTAAAGATCTCATCAGTTATAGAGCATGTTGTCTAATTGGCATTAAATACACGTACATAGTATTTTTGCTCTGTCACTCCTCTGCTGTTATCTGTTACAATATTTAATTTTATTCAGTGCATTACTTGAATCTAAAAAGTTTGTCTGCATATACCGATTAAGGACATATAGCAGTTTTCATGAACTAAACTATTATGTTATATGTGTTTCGAGATGATTTAAGTAAAATTTGAATTAGCAGAATGTCATTTTTATAGCGATCTTCCTAATTTAATGCCCTATAAAATTCATCGCAAATAAGTGTCTTGACTGCATTTCAGTTTTATCTTATCCGTTATATCAAACACAGAAATAGCGTGATTCTACATCATGCGCTTAGAAACAATCTCATTTATGTAAATAACAGTGCTTATTTGCAGGATAAATCATAGTCAAATGCAAATCATTTATCACTAACATTACCGTTTATAACCAGACATTTTGTTCTCTTTATAAAAACTAACAGCAGTGGTCAATGGTTCGTTTCTCTATTCTGTATTACTGATTTTCTTCATATTTTTAGTTTCATTCTCTGATAAACGGAGAGTTTTAAAATGTCCCTTTTATTTTTTTAGCATAATGAGATTGCTAGCAATTTCCTATTTTTGATCGTTTTCCGAAATTGCAGTTTCGGATCATTTTCTTTGATAACATCGTATTTTTTTAGAAATAAGGGTGTTGGAGCACAATGGAGAAATTGCCGGAAGAAATGCTAAGGGCAGTCTTTGTTTATTTGCCAGGGTCCGATCGTTTGCCGGTATCGCTTACATGTCGTCGGTGGTTTAATTTATTGAAGGATTCTGTCCCAAGTATCAGTGCTGTACATATTTCTCTGGATACATCAGCTTGTTCAACTCGTTTTCTAGAGGCAGCCTTATCAGAAGCAACTCTTTCGATATGTTTATGTCCAGGACATGCGCGAAAACATGCCGTTCTGTTGCAACCATTTTTTCAAGCTGCTGGTCAAAACCTTGCAACTTTAGCTGTCGAGGATAATCTTATACCAAAGGCTAGTTTTAAATTCATTATAGTAGATCTCACCGTTAATAAGAGCATAAGATGATCACTTTTGTAGCTACAATCCATTCCTTTTGTTTCTCATTAGATCCGAATGACTTGTCCGAGAGACAGGATGCATTTCAAACTACTTGCTAGCTTGAATTGCTGATTTAATATTTCGGTTGGATGGTTTGAAAGAATGAGTTTCATTTCACAATGAAATTTTAGGAGGGAATAGAGACTCAAATTCCGGACATGACAGTTCATGCACTGCTGAACAATATGCCGAAATGCTTACGGGCCTTGCATTTTCAAGGTGTTGATTTCTCAAAAGTTCGACCATGGACATTTGCGCTACTCGTGAAGTTGGAATCCTTAGAGGAACTATATATACTGGATGTAGTGCTCCCAATTGACAATGAATCTTTGTTCGCCAGGATGATTTCCCCATCTTTCGACACCTTAACGAACATTTCTGTTACTAATAATGCGCAGGTCTATCGACTCTTTTTGCATACTTTCGATTAACTAACTATATTATAGTGAAATTAGACCTTTTTAGGTAGGAATTTGAGAAAATTCTAATCCTGTGGAGCTTTTTAACTTAATTCATATTTCTTTTGTAGTCACTGAGAATTTCAACAGGATCAACTAGAGCAAAATATTTTTGCGCGAATCGCTAAGTCAAATTTCACATTTCCGCAGCACACTTTCAATATCATCATAATTTATAAGATGGATAAGCTGTTTATTGGCTCAGAATTAATTTAACTCAATAAAATGAAAAATGAAGATTTATTGGTATAAATATTGTAACAATACAATATTATTAATGTTTCAAAAGTAGCATTTAGAATAAGATATTCCAAATCTTAGATCACGGATAAGTTCGTGTCTACACTGGCGCGACGTTGTCCCGTCTTACAAACCATAAATTTGAATGGATGTAAGCGTATTACTTCCTTATCTGTGCTTGCCTTTGCTGAAAATGCGTCGCATCGAATTACAGAACTAACGTTTATTCATGTCCAGTCAACGATGTTCAATCCTAACTTGGTAAGTTTAGAAAGGTGTTTTAGTGATGAACACATTTAGGTTAAATCTGTTCGTTCATCTGTTTTGAATTTTGAAACAAACATTTGATAACAGCATTTATAAATCTGTTACAGAAATATATTTCAAATTTCGAGGAACTTAGCGTCAAAAAATCATGAAAAGAAAAAGTAAAGGGGAGCATTTTGTCTACTTAATGATTTTATATTTTCAAAGCAAAGAAATACCTCAATGCATGGAAAAGCATTTCGAGAGATTCTTTGGCCCTAACATTTGCTTTGGAACTTATGCCTACTTTACTGCTGCGGGCAAAACATTTCCAGCTTTGGTCTTTTCCCAACTTTATTTAATCTTAGATTTGTGGAAGATTTAACTGCTACATTAAATTTACTTTGTTCTATAAAAAACTTCTTGCTGAACTTGCTAGCTCCTGTTCAGCTGCAGCGATATTTATCATCACCGTTACTGGCTGGTGGAAATTATTGGAGAGCAAATGCTCTGAAACTGGAAATTGGATTTCAGCATGATGCGATTTGTTTGGAAAACATTTGTCGCACCAATTTGTTCATTATTGTCTTCATTTGACGAATCTCGAAACTGAGTAAATCGTGACATTGTTTATAATTTTTGCATAACAAGCAGGACATTTTCCTACTTCATTACTTATTCTGGTAGAGAAGTAGGTTTAGTTTTTAATTCTTTCTTCTATACATTTTATTTTTTGGCAACTATCTCTGTCTAATGTTTTGTGCATTCATATTTCCATCTTTTAAATTACCCGTATATTTCTAAGTTGAATGCAAAACCTATTGTTTTGACTCCATGGCAGTACTTACTAATATGAGAAATAAAACTATTATGTTCTTCTGAGCACTGCCATGTTATTATGGGTATGATTCCAATGAATACGTTAAAGCAATTTTGTCATTTCTTAAATTTTTTAACTGCAGATGTTAAAACTTTCCTGCACATTCGGTATGGAATACATCGTGATATTAAAGAGCATCTCCATTTATTTGTGCTCCAGAAGTGGTTTCCACTGCTGAAAATTCTTGTGGATTGAACGAAGTGCCGCTGAAGTTAAATATGCTATGTAAGAAAATGGATCTAAAAACGCAAGATATGATACAATGCGGCCTGCAACAAATTCTGAACTGTACGGAGACGGCACTGTCATAGATGTAGGACTATCTCAGTCAGAAGCTAAGCGTCTTCAGAATTTTTCAAAGGGTTGCCAAAACAGCTGCTTACTGCATTGTGACATTTTAGAATAATCTCAAAGTTCAATGCATATGTACGGGAAAAACTTCCAATTTCAGCAACTTTATGATCAAGATATTCATATGAGTCCTGGCTATATACAAAATACGGCATAAATATTTAAGACATCGGAAACTTACATAACATGAAAAAATTAGGAATTATTTCATAGGAAGTTGCATAGTTTGTTTTTACAACTGAATATGCTTCAGTTTAGATCGTCTTACAGCTCAAGAGCATAACAACTGAGGAGAAATAAACGAAATATAACAATGCGGAAAAAAGCCATGACTTACAAAATATATCAAGATATCACTGAATCTGAGAGAAATATTCTTCCACATTCTTAAACATCCTTAATGCCGTCCCTGACCCATATTTTTATTGGTTACCGAGCGGTATCACAAAATCTAATCGTGAAGCTGATTGGTATCGTACTAACCTTTTGAGATGGTATACAAAAAAAAATATGGAGTCATCATCTTATGTTTGTTCAAAATCTCACAGTTGATTGGAATACATCTGATTCTTTGTAACTTAAAGAAAAAAAAGGACGATTCTGTCTGGACTTTCAATATAGACAAATACTAAATCCATAGATTAAGTACTAGATGAAGCATTACTTTTGCGTAGAAGTTTTTCGTGCAACCTTTGCTGTCTCTTTTTGTTTTTGGGTGGAGTTATTGACGAGTCACTCGATTTCGGCGTACTGAAAAATGACTTTCTAAAGGAAAGAACTTCATAAAAAGATTTTATTGTGAATGAAAACATGAAAAGGGTGCCGTGACGACTACGATTACGAACAACTCAATCAGGGATAAAATTAAATGAAGTAGTGCTATGATTGACATCGGGAACTTCTTTTAGACATCTAGCACATGATTTTACTGGCATATTAAAAACACTACTCTGTGTTTCGATGATTGAACATTCTGATAATTATATGAACAGCTTGATTGCGACTTGTTTCTCAATTTACAATTTTTTGGGGGTTACTTTTTTTAATGAGTTAAAAACACACCTTTCAACCTCAATAGGCGTTCGTGGTATTGTCGTGGTTGGTGATCTTGGATCCATTTCAACACGCCGGACAATTTTCCTACTTGGAGTACTAAATACATCGTCTGGGACAAATTCCTTTTTTTCTTTTATTTTCCCGAAAAACTGGCCCATTACTGGGTAGTTAGTAACTGAAACACGTGTAAAATAGCATGAAACACGTGTTATCTTTGTTGCTATATTATAATTATTGTTCATTAACGATTTCTGACAAGCCCCTTTCATTGGAAGATGGAGTATATTTTTAAAAGGGAAAGATAACAGAAGATGGTGGTTTAGAAGTGATAAGAGAAACCAGCATAGGATGCAAAAGAATGAACAAACCAAAAACTTACCAGCACCTTAGGGACAATTTGAAACTTACAAACTTTTCTTTCAAATTTCGAGATAAAATATCATCGATCGATTTCAGATTTCATTCAGTAAAGTTTACTAAAGAAACTGAATTAATAAAAATGGTTTGTAAGTTTCTAACGTTATTTCCATCTATGAAACAAACTTAGGATTCAAGGGCTTCTCATCGAATTTGTGCTAAGCGCTATTGAATGACAAAATAATGCAAAAAAATGGCTATATTAAAGTAAAATGACCGGTGCCGTATTCGCTTTACTCACTCTGAATTCGATTCGAGTAAGTCTCAGAAATAGACGCAGTAAGGAGGATGTTATTTTGGTGCTTAAAATAGTACGGACAAACGAATGTTACACGCCAGTTAAGAAACTATCAACATATTTTCTAATACCCATTGAGCCAAGAGAAATAATGCTCGAAGGAAATAATGTTCAGTAGTTGTAGACATATGACTACTGCGGCTTAGAATTTCAAGCAAAAGAGATGTTCTTTTTTTATTCAGGATAATAGTATCAACAAAACTTATAGCGAGTATTCCCCTCTTTGATAGACATCTAGAATTTGCAATATGTCAACGAACCGAATTTGGATTATGGTCCTCACTTCTCAGATAGCTGAGGTAGGGGTCTTATGAAATGTGAGCAGGCGAAATATCGATACGAATTAGAGTAAGGGAATCTGGAAAGGAGTGCAGCAAATCTTTTTATCATCTCTAACAGATCTACCGGAAGGTATAACTTTTCTATTAAAAATATTTGGATAAAATGGATTAATGCTGAAATTTATACGGGCCTTTTTTTCCATGAAGCCACCAAGGGGAAGGAGAATGCAGTGACACACATCGGTATAGTATCCTTTCCTCTTTTAGAAAGAATTTGATGCTGTGATTAGAAGAATAAGGATAGAGCAGCTCTTTTCTGTATTTATTTGGAATAAAATGATCATTTTTAAATGAAGTGACTCTTAGAAAAAACAAATTATCAGATAGAATGTCCAAGATGCGGCCGCTGCTTTTGATTAAAAATGGAAATATGTTAACGACATGGGAGGACACATGAACAGTATTCTTCTAAATTACAACTACGAAGAAATGCAGAAAGCAGTGTATATACAGCCAACGATGATGTATCAGAAGCAAATAATTACAGTAACAAAGCAGCGAAACATCCAAGCATGATTATTCAGGCGTAATAAGGAATTAAATACTTGAAAATCGATATTAGTGTCGTAAAACAATGTTATTTCAGTCAAAAATATACGCAATAAGTCCTTAAACTACGTCAAACGAGCCACAAAGTATGCCAGCCTAGTTTTAATACATGTTACTTGAAGTTTCAAACCCCAAAAATCAAGCCAATCGACAGCTACAGCCTACAAGAATGCCTTCAAAAATCTAAAAATTTGCTGAAAATTTTTAAATCCTCGCGCTTTTGTAATGACAACTCTAAAGATAATCGTGCTAGGACCGAGAGGAAACGGGAATTGATAGAGACGGAATGGTCGGTGTCATATGTGTGCAGGTGGGGCATGTCATTAGGATAGAGTTAGTTGGCGTAATTCAGAAGCTTTAAGTACTTGGGTGGTTTAACGGGTTCATTTCTTGTTTAGTTTCATCGTATAGAATCGTTTGGAAAACTAATGGCGAATCTATAGAGAATCAGTCATCTATTAGTCATTGTACAATCCATTGAATTCTTTCCTAGGCGCTAAGGAACTTTGTGATGTTCTGGCTGAGATCGTGATCTAAAGTTAGCTAGAGTTTTAGGCCTCAATTATATCCAGTCTTATTAAACAAAGCGTTAAATTAATTATATATGTTTTAGAGCAACATCTTTTGTATATTATATTGAGTAGTGGTGTATCTGTCCCAGTTAAATATTTTCCAGAAACAAAAATTTTGAGAAATTGGGAAGAATATCTGAGAAAAGGACCAAGAAGAAGGGGAAAAGATAACTGGAAGAAAAGAGAAGTAATGATGGATAGACGCAGTGGTGGTCAATCCTCTGGTGCTGGAGCAGCTTCTCCTCGGAAACATCAGTCCTTCCCCGTTTGCGTCACAGATGTCTTGGAACAGGTGCCGCTATCACCTTTACTATACTAATATGTTAGAATACCAGCTCTTATTTCACATTTCAGTAAGCTATGGTTTGCTTGATAAAGTTTTCTGCACATTCAATGAAGTGCTCAGTAAAACTGCTGTCATTAAAAGGTGAAATTCGCAGCATTTTCCTGAGCAGTCGTCATTCCACGAAATACTATGAAGAATTTTGATTTCAGCGATAATAGGATTTTAATTTTTAACTGTTTCCATATCACTGCCGTGTAATTTAGGTGATCATAGTTTGGCCAAATAGGTGCTCTTAGTTTATTGATTGTCGTTCCGATGGATCAGAATGTTTTCAAAAATTTTCAAGCTGGATTTTATTGTTTTATTGATTTTTACTTTTATCTTTTAGCTTAGGATACTATGTGGACACTTTTTATGCACTGAATATTTCGATTGTGAAATCTCTATGAAGTGATATCGAGAACTGCTTGAGGTAACGAAAGTTTGTGGTCAGCAAGGACAGAAATGGCGTGGTCCAGCAGCACTGCGAAACAATGAATTACAATATCAACTGGATAATGATTTGTTTTGCATTTCTCCAGATCGGCGAGTATCTCGGTTGAATCAAATACAACAGTTACGTCTCATGCAGATTCTTTGCGATTATTTCAAAGTAAAATATTTCTTTTATTTTAATTCCATGGTATAGTGTGTAATGTGTTGTCTACAGTGCGTTTTTTTTCTAAGACTTAATAAAACCTTAGTTTCAGGTAAATTCGCTCACTGAAATTAATATTCACAATCTTTTTCATGTAAATGCTTGAAAGGTTCAGAAATTAGCAGTTTGACAATAAATAATGTTCGCTTAAGGCAAAAACCAATTGTTTTGATGATTGGTGCAAATTTGAATTGCAATCTCATCATTAGATAATGCAAAAGCATGCTGGACATATTGTGTAGAAATTTCAAGCAAACGAAGAAAGTGATATTTTAAAGTTATGATTTACAAGATATATAACTAAATTTGTTAAAGTTTTAGCAGGAAATATGCATTGAGATTAGACTATCATGCTCACGCTTGTCGCTAAATTTAAAATTATTTCATAATATTCCACTATTATTTCGAAGATTTATACACTGCGAACTGTTTTACTACACAGTATTTTTTAGGAAAGAGAATCTGAACCACGTGGTCATCAGTATTCATATTTCGAAGCGATATTTTGTGGCCGTGAGGGCGAACCGCTTTTGCATGAAACACGTATTTCATTGCTAATTAACTTGTGTTCACTGGCTGTGCAGTATCCATGTTATTCAGTGCTGAACCATATTTCGCAGTGGCTACATAAGGTTATGCTTTTAAATTTATATGTTGGGGGAATTTTAATGTATCATCTGTGCGTGATTGTAAAAAAGTCTTTTTTTCAGATTGGTAGTGGAAAGTCATATGCACAGCAGTTTGTTTCCCAACTTGTTGACCATTACAT